CCAATGGTATAATGCAAAGTAATACCCAACTACTAGGAAACAAGATGGATCTATACCAAAAATACTCAAGCAAATAAAAAATCACATCATCAGCACCCCGAGATCCAGAGGGAAGCTTTCTAACTCAGACTTAGGTGTGGCACCTCTAATCACTTCTGGACTGCATTATACATCCATGAACTCTATACCCATCAGCATTAGTCATCTCAAATGTTCTTAATTCTCCAACTAACCACTTCCACTTTGTCATCCAGCAGGGGCAGAGTTATGAACAAAGCTTCTGTTGGACCTTAAACTGCTACCCATCACAAATCACCTAACAAACCACAGCATGACATTTGGTGACTTTCCCTTATCTACTACCATGTTTGTTTCAGTGGATTGCTTCCAGGTTTGTTTCACATACTAAGCAAGTTGTTGGGAGCACACAAACAAATGACACATGGCCACTACCTAAAAAAACTACTCAGAGAGACAGGTTTAAATAAATACAAAACAAAGTAACAGACTAATGCAACCACACAAAAGTAGAAAAAAGTTGGTGCACCAAACTAAATGACTAATTGCAGTTAATAACTTTCCCAAGTCAAATCATGATAAATCCTTTGTTTATAGCATTTGCTTCCCTAAAGTACAGCAGATTCAGTGTGCTGATCTGCACAATGTCTAGAGTACCAAGAAAAATTTAAGTTTATTTAGCTTGCTCAAAAAGATTACTTATAGAGAAGTTTACAACCTCCTACAAAATTTTTTTCAGTGAGAACAATCAGTGTAGAGGGGAAAAAGACAGAAAAAATAGATGAAACCATGAATGAGGCTGGTAAAAAAAAACACACACATGTCATTAGGATACTGGATAGTTGTTACTGGCAAGCCACAAATTTGGTTGAACATTCTAGAAACTAAGGGAAAAAACGATGCATGACCAGTTCCATGATTCATAGTGGCCAGATGATAATTATTCATGGGACTGAAACCTGAAAAAAATTTCTCCACAGGCCCTCTAACACTATTCATATACTTGTTTTGAAAATAAGTTTTTTTAAATATTATATATCATTTTGCGCACCTTGACTAATGTGTGTATTCTAAATAATAGACAGTATTTCAACATTGTTTCCTTAAAAAGAAATAAAGTCATTATTTGTGCACAAAGTATTGAAGGCTGTGGGTATCTTGTATGTGAGAGATCATGGTCACCGTTTTAAGGCTTTACCCCCCTAAGGTAAGCCTTGATATTTTTTTAGACTGAAAATCAATAGCTGAGGCTTTTCCTGACAGCATCATACAACATGCATTAACACTATAAAAAATGTTCAGGTAACAGCAGATGACAGATTTGACACAGTAAGTTTCCCAGGATTTTTGCAGATGGTTGAATATAAAAATAATGGTTATAATATTTAATACCTGAGTCCTTTGTCAGAAGAAGTAGCCAAAATAAGCTAAGGACATTAATACCAATTACCTCTTATAAATGATGGAAAATGAAGATCATTAAGTAGCAAATTTTTAAATTTTATATGCTGTAATAAATTTGTAAACATACACAAAAATTAAGAGTACACTGGGCCAGGGATGTAGCTCAGTGGTTACGCCACCTGCCTCACAAGCACAAGGACCCGAGTTCCATCCCCAGTACCAAAAAAAAAAAAAAAGAAAGAAAGAAAGAGTACAATAGACCACAGCATGTCTCAAAACCAAGACTGAGCAATTACCTAGATTTTCCAAATTTCCTTCACCTGTCCCCATTTTTCTTTGATTAAGTATTTTAAAGCAAACCCCGTTCATATTACCACCATATCCATATATATTTACTTTAAAATAAAACTGATACTCATATAATCACAAAGCTAAATCAAACCTAATAATGCCAAACAGAAACTTCTTGGAATCCTGTCAGTTTTTAGAAGTAGTTCGTTCAAATTCAGATCTAAAGAAGATCCATATAAACATTTCATCATGTCTCTTTAAGTTCCTTTCCCTTCTTTTTTTGTTCCCTATTCCTGTTGAACCAAATACCTTTCAAATGGAGATACAATTCATATTTCACAGAATTCACACTTTAAAAGCATGCAACTTTATATATTCACAAAGCTATGCAAATATCACAATGTAATTACAGAATCTTGCCATCACATCAAAAAGAAAACTCCACACCCATCAACCATTGCTTCTTATTCCCCCTTAGTCCTTGGAAACTACTAATCTACTTTCTCTCTATACAGATCTTCCTTCCTATTCTGACATTTCCTATAAATAAATTCACAATGGCACACATTTTGAATGTCCATTAGTTAGCTATCATAGACCAATCTAGGTGGTTAGGTACCAAAGATATACAGTGTATGGCATGGTTTGTGTACATAATAGATAAAAGAGACACTCCATCAATAAACATGAATGCATCACAACTGCCATATAGATGGACATGACAAATGCTTTCGGCTCACGCTTTTCATCTTTTTCCTTACAAACATATATAGGGGATATGATATCACGTGTATGTCACCTCCATGGGTTGCCCATATGCAGCAAAATATTTAACTTTCACAAAGATGAATGTTTACAAGGCTGGTAGTAGTAATGTGGGTAGGTAGATCCAATGCCCAAGCTAGAAGTCCCCACTTTTTCTCCCTTAGGAGCATGCCAGAGAAGAGAACCTTTTTGGAGACAAGGTCTCATTATGTAGTACTTTAGGCTATCCTTGAACTCACAGCGATTCTCCTGCCTCAGCCTCCCAAGTGCTGGGATTGTAGGTGTGCACCATCACCCCAGCAAGAACTTTTACTTTTAATTATTTTTAGTATGTCACTGGCACCTTATAGGAGGGCAACAGATCGCAGTGTTTAATAACAGACTCCAGAATTCGTACCTCTCCAGAGTCAAGACAATGGATGCCACTTGACCACTTAATAGCTAAGGGGCCTTTGGCAAAAAAAAATCTCTTCAGATTTCCCTTTATGTCAAATGAAGATACTAATAATTATGCTTTGAAGACTAAACACAAAGTTCTTAAGATACGCTGCTTGCTAAATGCTGGTTATTGGCAATAATAATTGTTAAACTATTACTAACAAATCAGCCGTAAGGCTTCAGACCTGATAGAACCATTTCAGTGTGGAGCTTCTAGCAAGTGGGGAATGTCTGCTAGAGAAGAACTGCCCAAGTAACTAAAGTCTCCATGTCCCAACACAGTGACACTTAGGGGCAATAACAATGTGGACACTGGCGGTCTGAAAACCAGAAAAAGTTCAATACCCGATTTGTTCCTCCCTTAGTCTCAAGATCCCCGGACCACACTATCACAGTTATCAAGATATCTCAGGTCGAAACGAAGAATCACCTGCTGTCGAAAATTAATAATGCCAAAAAGCCAGAGAGGAACAGGGCTGCTGGGAATTCTGCCAGCCTGGGGAAGGAAGGATGTCCAGGCCATCCTGGCACAAAGAAATGACCAGCAGGAGCCAGCGGGCCCTTGCCTCTGTGCTCTTCTCTCCCAGAGCCCGTTACCTCTGAGAATTCCTTCACTGAGGCGCACACCCTCATTTGCGTGCTCTCCTCCCTTCACGCTCACTACCCCGTCGTCCCTTTCTGCTAGCATTGCAAGACCGTTTTACTTGTAGTGACAGGGTTAGGGAACACTCACTTCTCAGCCAAGCACGGTGGCACACGCTGGGAGGCTGAGCCAGGAGGATCCCAAGTTTGAACCCAGCCTAGGCAATTTAGTAACTTAGTGAAACCTACCTCAGAAAATAAAAAAGGGCTGGAGGTGTAGCTTGGTGTGAAAGCGCTGGGTTCAGGCCCCAGTATCACTCCCCACCAAAAAACAAAGCCTCAAAGAAGGAGCCGTGTGTTTCTTGTGTGTCACTGACATAACAGTGTACATCCTCCACAGCTGCCATCTACCCCTGGTGCTCACAGACCCCACGGAGAGGATGGTTTCACCACCACCCATTGGTAGGTAATTTTCTGGTTTTCTGTTGTTTTTCTTTTTGCAGTGCCAGGGATCGAACTCAAGACCTTGCACATGCCAGGCAGGCGTAGTGCCACTGAGCTACATCCCTGACCCTGTTTTTGTTTTTTGAAGAACTAAGGTAACACAAGTGAAAAAGCAGTGCTTCCACAGCTGTATGTGAACTTCAGGCATCTACTTCCTAAGGAGCAGGTACACTCTACCCATAAACCTCTACCCCTGACTTACTTCATCCCACAGCAAGAGACATACTTTCTACTTTAGAAAGTGATTAGTCCAATTATAACAACAGCTGGCCCCTACCTACCCCGCAACAAACTGCCAAAAATTGCTATCAATTATAAGGAAACACTATATAACATTGAAAAGGGTGTAGTAGAGAGACATTCACTGGCACTGTGTCAACGTGCACAAGAGTGCATGGTTGTGTGCATAAACATATTATTTTGTTTGTTTTAAAACAAACAGGGAAAAAAGGGTGGAACGAGATACCTCCAAGTATTACCAGTGGACCTCTGCGGTATAAAATTTGGAGGGTTAAGAGAAAGCAGTGAAAAATTTCACTTTTCATTTTATATCTCTCTGAAGAGTCTGAATTTGTTATAATTAGTGATTTTAAAGAAGAGTGTCTGGAGGATGGATAAAATCTGAAATACTTTACCAGCCTAACCAATGTTTCTTTATAAACAGTGTATCTTCTTACATAAATATACTAACAATTTACATGAACAGGAAGGCCAATTAAATTAGAGGATCTGCTTTATTCCAGCAGCATAGACTGCTATGGAAGGTAAACAGAAATTGATCACTAAATTTGCCCAGTTGACTAAGTTTATGATAAAGTTAAATGCAAAGTGCATAAAATAAATGAAAGAATTAAATGGTGAATAAAAGTCATTTTCTCGCTTTTTTAATAGATGGTAAAAGACAAGAAGTCACAAAACAAAGTGAAACACACATAGAGGAGAAAGGTGGTTCTCTTCTTCTACCACTTTCTTAATAAAAGCATCACTATTTCTCTTACCTGATCACAAATCAGTTCCCATTTTTTCTCATTGTCATACTGCCGTAGTAACCTGGCTTTGTCAGGAGGTAGGTTCATAGCATTCTGGGGGGAAAAAAACAAAACAGAAAGAGAAAAGATCAGTTGATTTCACAATAGGCCGCTCATGGGTAACTCATAGGCAAAGCAAAGACTAGTACTATAGTCCTTTTATGACTGCCTTTCAATTCCTAGTATCTGTTTTAACCAAAATATTCTGCAGAAGTCATTTAAACATCAAATTAGTTTAACAGAAAAAGGAAAACTCTAAAGTTCTATACAGGAACCTCTGAGATGGTCTGTTTTGCACAATCAGGCTTGCATTTCAGCAAAGGTCATGCTTTATTTCTTCATTTCATAATAGGCTCCCTCAAGAACTAACAAAATGGTCAAAAGTGGTTGATCAGAAGATATTACCCTCAATTTCTTTTCAAAGCACTGTAGCCCCCAAGACAAAGAACTGAAAGCTCCAAAAGAAAACTCAATGAGCAAAACCACTGATTAGACAGCATCAACTTTTACTCATTTTGATAAACCACCTTGAAAAAAGAACGGAATTTTTTTTTTAATGACAATAACGTGATGTGTCAATCTCTGTGAGATGACAGCATTCTGTCAGGTCATGTTAACATCAGCAACCTTAATTCTCAATTTAGCTCTTGATACATAAATTTGAGCTTGCAGTGAGACACTGAACCCAACCTGATCTAGATGTCTAGACACTGCATTCATACAAACCTACTCCGTTAACACAACATGGCTTCGGTACTGTCGGACGTGGATTTGCCTAGGTATGCTCATGTCCCAAATGACCAATCATACACGTTTTCAAGATCCTTGGCTAGGATCTGTGTAAGAATTTTGTCATCAACATGGGAGAGTAAGAGAAGCCCAAAGAGATCTCTTCCTGTGGCCTCTGTAGTTTCCACACTCTAAATAACAGAGCTAAGTGGTCAGTTAATGAATTATACCTATTACTCATTCTGCCTATCTCCTGGCATCAATGTTGTAAATCATACTTATCCCTAAACAAACAATGAAGTTCTTGTGTGAGTCAATACTCAAGGTGACAAATGCAAAGCTCTTACACCGTTAATGCTCAATCTCCCATCCCTCTGAAAGGCTTGCCTTACAGGAGATAATTGCCCTTAGCACAGTTACTATTTCATGTGAGCAAAACAAATTTAAAAGATAAAGGTGGGTAAAGTATTCTGACTTAATTACAGAGAACAAACCTTTGATGATTTTGATAGATTTAAACCAAGCATCTTCCCTTAAACTCAATCTAACATGCAGAATGGTATGCCTTAAATAATGCATCTACCATTAATCAATTTGAATCTAAACCTCAGGTTTTAGAACTATAAAATATCTAAAAGGGAAAAGTAGTTTCATATGACACACCTCCATGGAATCTATATCTGAACAAGAATGGAAAATACCTGTGTGTATTAGTCGTCACAATCTAACAACATTAAAGAACAATACCCAGGAGAAGGCAAAGGTGAACTCCACCTACTATCTATCTTTTTTTTTTTTTGGTACCAGGAATCGAACTCGGGTCCTTGCACTTGCACAGCAGGCGGCAAAACCACTGAGCTAAATCCCTGGCCCCATCCACCTACTATATATCTTAAGGACCAATGTTATTTACTGTTAAATAACCAGTCCAGTCCATCATTGCATTATTTGAATCCTGGAGATAGACATTTTCCTCTTAAACTGTTCTTCATCCTCAGGTAAATGACCCTGAGAATAATTATGCTGTAAGTAAGAACAACACGATTATAAATTACACAAGGTTCCCTCCCTTCAGATCTTATTAGTCACTTGAGATATGAAAGAAATAAGAATGCCCGAACTCCTACAAAGTGCCAAGCATTAAACTGGGCACTCTGCTTATGTAACCCTACTGAATCTTCTACTCAATAAGTGTGTGGCGTAGATATCATCTTTCCTAGTTAGTATATGGAGAAGCAGACCTGGAAGAACTTGGTTAACTAGTGCAAGAATGCAGATTCAGAGGAACAACATGTAAGCTTGGTCTTTTGGATTACCGAGAACAAAGTCTAAAGGTCCCACCAAAGTCTTTCGCAGCAAAGGAAAACAGCAAATACAACCTTCTACTCCTACAGTACTCTACTAGACATACTTGTGGAAACAATCAGCAAGTACTGCTACAGGAATTACATGCCCCTGTTGCTACTGCAAAAAGTAACCCAAGATGCTCCTTCTAAACCAATTTTTATTTTGGCCAACATCTTCCACTTAACAAATGTTTATGAAGCACTGCCCTCATAACAAGCATTATACAACGGGGGAAACCAGACAGACGTGGTCCCACAAGCCTTATATTATAGCGGGAAAACACGAGACACACTTGCAAAACTTAAATTTTGAGAGATTATCAGAGGATAGCTGTAGATTAGATGATTATGAAAGATCTCAGAAAGAGTAACAATATGGATGCTAGACAATGAGACAGAGCTAAGTGAAGAGCGGACAAAGAATGCTTGGCAAAGGAAAGAGGAAAAGACTAAGGCAGGAAAGAGCTTGGCACATTCGGCCGCTAACAGAAAGCCAGCTTGGCCGGACAAAAGGAGGTGGGAAGGATGAAGCTGAAAGGGAGATCCACACATGCAGGACAAGGTCAGTAATTTTTATTTTACCAAAAGGGCAATGAGAAGCCATTGAAGGCTTTTAAACAGGGAAATAATCTAAGGACATTGTTTTACAAAGATCACACTAGTACTTTGTAGAGAGCTGATCAAAAGTAGCAAGAGTGGAAGCAGAGACGTCAGATAAGAGGGCAGAGCAGTAAAGCAAATGATGGGGGCTTGGATGAGGCTGTCCACACGGCAAATGAGGAAAAGTGAACAGATGAGAGAGATAAGTAAAACTGTTTGTGTAGACTCCAGGCCTGGGGAAGGCTGTCAAGAATTAATACCTTGTACCTGGCTTGAGTCACTAGGTAAACCGTAGTTTGTTTAATGAGAGGTAAATACAAAAAGGGCAATGTAAATCTTGAGGTGGTAAGCAGTAAGATTTCTAAGTGTTCTCACCTAAGTCTGAGATATTATGAGACATCTCAGAGAACACTTGAGCACATAGGCAGATCCTCAATTCTAAGGGTCAGAAGAAAGGTCCCCATTTTTCTGAATGAGAAGTGCTTTAAGAAGTGTTTTTGAGTCTGATAACTAGTTATTGCCAGAAGAAGTAGCTCAACATCAATACATCAAAACTAAAACTTTTGGTAACCATTCACCAAGCATCTAAAATAACCCTTTCCACAGGTCAAGCCTCTGAGCTGCTCAGGCATACATCGTACAGCTTATTAATTCTACGGGGACCAAGCGGAAGCAGTTCTATTTAAAACCAGACACTCCACAGAGGCCTGGCAGGAGTTCAAGGATATTGTCAATTTAGCTGGTTAACTGTTCTAAAACTTACTTTAGAGTGAACTCATTTCTCTTGTGCTACACAGGGCAGGACTCTGTAGTTCCAGCTAAATATTTATGCAGGTAACTCACAAGAGTCCAGGTTATTTTCTGAGAAAAGTACTTGGGTCTATCTCCACGTCTCTTGCTGCCTGTATAAAAAGACGGCTCTTCTACTTTGCTGAAAATGTAAATCATCTTCCAAGTTTTCCCAACACAGTGCCAAACCTGGCTCGCCCACACCTAGTGATATCTGTAATTCAGGTTTTCTTTTCCTTTCTTTCATCCATCGACCCATCCAACATTCACTGGGCTTTGACCATGTGCCAGAATATATGCACTGCAGGCATCTGAGAAAACTTAATCATGAAAGTGCTGCATGTAAAGACCTGCCAAAGGTCCACTGAGACAGACAGTATTTAGTGGGCATTAATTATCTATTTTCCAGACTGGACAAGTAACAAAATGCAATAGATTAGATCATCTAAGGGTAGGCAAGGAATGTCCCTACGCCTCCACTCTCAACCCAGCAAATGTCAAGAATCAGCTCAGAATCAGCACTCATCCTTAGAAACACATCTATAATCTCAGTATTCTGGGAGGCTAAGGCAGGAAGATCCCAAGTCTGAGTCCAGCCTGGGCAATTAGTAAGACCCTGTCTCAAAAAAGGACTGGGAGCCAAGCATAACAGTGCATACCTGCAACCCCAGGACCAGGGAGGATGAGGCAGGGAACTGCTATGAGTTCGAGGTTAGCCTGAATTACAAAGTGAGACTCTTCCTCTTAAAAAACCAAAAAGGGGAAAGGAGGTCTGCAGATGTGGCTCAGTACGAAGGCCCTGAGTTCAATCCCCAGTACTGAAAACAAAAACAAGAACAAGAGCCTTCCCTCAACTACTGTAAGAGACATCCGCTCCTCAAGCTCTAACAACACGGCACCCAAAACTATACTGCAGCACCTAGCACACCACACCCTTATAATCTGTTACCTAATAAATTCTCCTGGACTGAGCACTTCAAGGAAAATTATTTTGTGCTTGTAAATCACCAATGCTTAGCAGAGTAAGATAAACAACAGGCATTAAGCAGCTTGTCAAATAAATGAAAAGCAGGGACAGGGATGCAGCTCAGCCGTGCGGTGCCTGCCTGGCAAGCGAGAGGGCCCTAAGTTCAATTCCCAGTACCAATGAATGAATGAACGAAGAGCAAAATAACTCAGCCATACTCTTAACTGGAAAACATCTTTACTAATGCTTAGGGTTTATATTTGAGCTGTTAAAAAAGTCTATACACTATAAAGAACTTCTGATTCTTATAAAACATCAGTCAAGGATGATGTCTATCACTATCTTCTAGACAAGAATTCATGGAGGGAGGAGGATTCAATTCCAGCAACTTTTTCCTAAAAAGAAAAATTAATTTTATGCATTCTTCTCTATATATAATAAAGTGTGGAATCTGAACTTTGTTTTGTAGCCAGTAAATTCAAATCAGTATCAACTATAATTAATCTGCCAAGTGGTCTTTATATTTATGATCTCTAATCTACCTTTACCCTTAATTATACAATTTTACGTTGCTTAAAAAATGTGTTTTCTGTCTTAGAACTTTTGAAAATAGACAACTAAGT